TTAGAAACGACACTGTCAAGGAACGCTATGGACAGAGGCAACATGCAAGAGGAGGAGAGTTTAGTGTCGGAGGTCGTGGATGAGTCTCCTCCGTCATACATTTTTTATTTAGAGGAGGAAAGCGGGGACGAAGATGTTGTGGAAGAGGACGCCAGGGCGGCAGAAGCTTGGTTTGGTGTAGAAGGCTTCCAGCCGTCCATGTTTGAGCCCTTGCCTCGCAAACGCTGCCTGGCCGAATCGACTGACTTTAGATGTACAAGCTGACGTATAACTAAATGGCCTGCATGAAATAACGGGAAAAAAACACAGATTTTAAGACAGGATTTTTTTTTAAATAGAAATTTTGGGACATTATCATCGGATAATGAGTATATTTAAGCCAGAATGATTTGACATTTAAAATTGCCTTCCCTACGACTTTAAATAGAAATGTTGACCAATTTCTGCCACTCTGTTAAAAAAAAAAAATTAAACATGATTACTTATCATATCGCAATAGTAACTCAAAATAATGAGATAGTATCTCATTATTTTGAGACGGTATCTCATTAAAATTAGATAAACATATAAATAGGCTTCCATAGCTATCTATACTTTACTGGAGTAAATATGTCTTTAGAAAACCTTTTACTTCTACACCTCACATTTTTTTGCAATTATCTCTACCTTCTAGTTCTTAAATTTTAACAATAAACTCGTTAGTTTTGTTTCATTCAAGCTCATTTTCCTTATGGACTGTTGATATTTTTAAAAATAACCATCAAAATAATTAGTTTCATCCAGACAATTAATTTCTTTGCGGTTGGACTCGGTGCTGCCCCAACTTGTTGTTCACCACATACCAAAATAAATAGTTTTAAGATGATGCAAAGTAAGATTTGACCTTGTTATCATTAGTTATAAAACTAAGAAAGGGAAGTCCAAGGAAGTTATCATCCAGAATTGTAGAAGGCTGCTTACTTCTCCTCCCAAATGAAGTAAAATGCTAATTTCATTAAATTAAGGCCTGATCTTTTAAATCATCTTGTAATTTATTCTGATGAGCAAAATCCTAGAAGACTTGAACGGATGTGCTCTGGGCACAGGCTCATCAACGCACAGAAGAGGAGCTCAGCTGATAGTTTCGGTCTGTTTAAACTGAGGACCCACCAGTTTGAATGAACTACATCATCCCTTTGGTGAAGAGAAATAAACCCTGTAGGGTTATAACCCCCCCGTCTTACCTTGGCCTCTTTGATCCCAGGGCAGAGTTTGCAGACTGTAGCGACCGCTACATCCTCTGATACGATCCCGTAGCCGTCTTCGTCGACCAGCGCAAACTCCGCCGCCAGCCACTCGCTCCTCATCTTGCTCCCCAGGCTGCCTTCCACCGCTAAGCTGCCTCCATCGCCCGGCCCTCCTCCTACTCCTCCAGCCGCTCCAATGATTGAAGGATGGGCAAGGAGGTACCGCAACCCCGTCACCCAGATGTTGGCCACATCAGCCGACAATGCCACCAAGTCTAGAGACTGCAGAGAGGGGTTCCAGAAGCTGGTTGGTTAAAGGAAAATGGTGAAATGTTTGCAGCATTCTCTTTTCTACATGGTGGATCTGTAACCTGGTACTCATCGCCGTGGATGATGGAGAAGGCTGCTTCCTCAGCGAGGTGTTCCAGCAGAGGGCCGTTATGCAGAAAGGTCTCTGTGCTCTTCCCAGTGCGGACCTCCCTGATGCTAGAGACGTCCAGTCTAGCCCGGTCTGCGTCCTTCTTGGACGGCTCCCAGCGAAGGCAGCTCAGGTCTGCATCCAAGGTGTAAAATCGACAGTAGACCCTGGAGTTGGGTCGGATCTTCTTAAGCTCACACCCACCTTGCATGAAAGCCAAACAGTCGGCTGCACTGCTGACCTGCAACCAAAGGTGAGAAACATCTTCAGAGTCCAAACATTTCATCTGGCAGATAGGAAGGATGCTAAAGCAAACAAAAAGAAGAGAACATCTTTTTCAGTTAAAGGTCCTACACTGTATCTATGGAGTGAAATTTCTTCCTTTTTTTTTTTTTGCAAGCGCTGAATATGTTTTACAAAAATTTAACTTTGAAAAACATTTAATTAAAAAAAAGGTTGTAAGAGTAACTTTTCTCTTTTCTTCAATTTTGTTTAATTTTTGTTTATTCTTCATATTATTTTCTTTTTTTTTTTAGAT